GGGGGGTAAATAACCCTAATAACCCCCCTTATTTATGCCACTGTCTCCAAAATTTGTGAGTTGTCCTTAACAGTCTTAATACACGTTTTAGAAAAAATACAAAGCCATAAGTGAACTGTATGACTGTTTAAGTACTGCCTATAAAAGGGTTTTTCAAGTGGAATCCTTAAAAATCATATCAAAAAGACTTTTTCAGGCCGTATCTAGTCAGTCAAGCAGTTGACTTTGGTTTTTGATTTACGACAATATGTCTTTTAACTGTTCATGAAAAGTTACAAAATTTGGGAACCCTGGCAGTTCAAAAAATGTTATAAAAAAATCCAGAAGAAGCATCACATAGATTCAGCCTTCTTATAAACAGTCTCATCAATTTTTAAGACAGGGCTGACTTTGAAGTGTCGCAACGCCCTAAGCTTAGATTTTACCGCTCTAACTCACTTATGCTTTTCTGTAGCCCTTTACATGTACATTTTAGCACTGTAAAGCACTTCTTGTTAGATTTGGTTTTTTAGAAGTAATTGGCAAAATTCTCAACGATTTTTGCTTGAGAGCGTGAGACCATTAAATCGCAGTGGCATACCAAGGGTTGAAGGAATATGAACCTGTATATAAAGATTCCAAGATTTAACCTATAAAGGTTGGAGGAATATGAACCTGTATAAAGAGAACCCAAGATTTAAGATGTAAAGGTTGGAGGAATATGAACCTATATATAGAGAACCCAAGATTTAAGATATAAAGGTTGGAGGAATATGAACCTGTATATATAGAACCCAAGATTTAAGATATAAAGGTTGGAGGAATATGAACCTATATATAGAGAACCCAAGATTTAAGATGTAAAGGTTGGAGGAATATGAACCTATATATAGAATCCATGCAAGGAGAAGTATATATAGGTAAAAATACAGTATGCTTTCGGAAAATATTCATTTGGTTCCTTAAAAAAAGGCAAAAATGAAATCTTCTACTATAATTGAGTGACATCAGACACCCCACATTTGTAACAGAAGCAAAAAAATGGTGAATAGAAAAATCAAAAATCCGCCAAAAATGCAAGTTTTAGATTTTTATTGGTTTCAATAACTTATTCCAGACCTACATTAATATTCCAGTTTCCCTGCATAATCTTAGAAGATTATCCTGCAACATAAAGATATGACCCTCTTTTTATTGATGTTGGGAAACATTTCTTTTTTTATTTGATGCTATTTTTTACAATTAAATAAATTTTTAAAATTCAGTGATGGTGATGGACCAAACCTCTGTAGAGTAAAAAAGTAGATGTTAGTTCCACATTTATTGAAAATATATTTCGGTCTGGGTTGACCCTCGTCAGTTCTTGAGATTGTTTCTTCACAAAGATTAAAAACAAAATTTTTGTTTTGCTTTATTGATTCTTAATATGCATAAAATTTGTAAACTAAGAAACAATTTTTAAAAAACCGTAATTTAGAGCCATCAACGATCTAATATGATGTGGGACACACTGTACAAATAGATTTTATTTGTATGTATAAAAATACATTGAGCTGTTTCTGTGCATTTTCAATTTTTTATTTCTGTAAAGCAGTTAATTTGCGCAATATGAAATATAAAAATTTAACATTTCAGATTAACAAACAGATATTTGAATTGTGTTTATTTATAAAATGTTTTATAACGATATTTACACGACATGTTATTAATCAATCATAACTAATATTAATTATAAAGGAAGTTTCAATATATTCAGCATCACTCTTATTCGGGAATTTAGTTAATCCAGATTTATCATTTGGAAAAAAATTTGTTATTTTCTTTCTATGTTTTACATTGTTACTGTATTTGTGAAATGCACTGTGTTTGTGTATTGTATTTCCTCCAATGCAATTGCCTCCTGAAAGGAGGGTGGAGGTGCCTCTTTATCCAACCCGGACACGGCGTTAAAGTCTCTGGAGGTTATCGGAGGCTGGATCTGTATCTCCGGTTCCTCAGTTCTTCTTCTCCTCGGGGGACAGGAGAAGCAGCATTTAAAATCTCTAATCCTAATCACTAAACAGCAGCAAAGACAGGAGAGAATGCCAAAGGTTAGAAGGATTAGGAGGAAGATTATCTGTCCCTCGTTGAGATGATCTATCCCTCCATCAGACATTTTCCTGTCTAAACACAGCACTGTAGGTTGGAGGGAAGATTGTGCTGTAGGTCGGGGGTAGATCAACCTTCGTAACAGTCGGGGTAGGATCAGTAGGAATGGTAGGATCAGTTGGATCAAGAATTCTACCAGGTTTATATCCGGCCCAACAACAGAACACAAGGAGAAGTAGAACTAAACCAAGTATAATCACTAGCTCTATATACCATTCACTGATCATAGTTATCAGCTAAACTACGTCTATATACGCAGGTGGAGGATCACTACGGGTTATGTAGAATATAGTTGAGGTTGGTAGCGTGTACTGCACCCTGTGTCTTCTGTAGATAATGTAAAAGTACCCGAGCATGAAGATGATAATACCGAGAAGGAAGCTGATCAAACCAATATCAAGCAGATTCAGCATTCTCCAGTTACAAACATTGTACCAACTACTGGACAACTGTGAGCTGCTGGAGAAATCTTCAACTAATACTGACTTTATCTACGTGTTGGAATTTTTACTGCGAAGGTTATATAAGCTGTAGAGGAGGAGTGGGTAGGTGGGGGGTATTCATGGAAGGGGAGGGGGGAGGTAGCGGTCAACTTATTTCTAAGAACTCATAATGTCTAGATATACACAATTTCATTGAGACACATTTTAAAATGTTGATACTTTGAATCTATGTACCTGAAGCCCTTTTAAAAGAACTGTAAACCCATTTTCAAGTTTAACCCTTCATTAACGCCTAATTCACAATGGTACCCTTTCACTTTTATCTGAGCTGCAGTAAGAACGATTCTTTGTTTTACTATTTGGAAAAGCGTAAAATTCTGACAACTTCCTTCTTTTTATAGAAAATTAACCGCAATTGAAAATGAATAATTTTAAGATAGAAAAACAGGGATAACCCCTCATCTGCTCAGAGAATTTTTTAAAGGGTATCTTAGCTAATCGGACATGTCTCTCTGTAAATGAAAGGTCACTGACAATTGCATCAGTAATCACTTTAATCTGAATTACCCAAGATAACTATTAAAAATATATAATTAGTTAATAACGAAGTTTTTCTTTATCCAAAATAATAGAAAAAAAAGAACAATAGAATAGGGGTAGAAGTTATGAAAAAAGAATAACCAAGCATTGATATTTGATTTTGCGTTTGGAACATTTAGAAATATACAGTAGTTGCCAAGCCTCAATTTTGGACCAATATTGACGATTTCGGACGTTTTAATATCTACTATATTTGATAGAAGAATAATGTGTAAACAAGAGGCTTTAATCATTCCCGTAACAAATTCTTTTCAATTTTTTTCTGATAGGCTAAAAAACTAAAAAAGAAAACGATAATAAAACTTATAATAAATAAACTATTAAAACTTTTTTATTTGATTTTTTAAGGCAGTCCATTTTCTTCGGAATTTCATACTAAATTTAAATTAGAAAAATGTCTCAAAATTTCTAAACATTTATTAATATAGAACCTATAAAAGCAAATATAAGATACTAGTTTTTTAAATTACTATTTCGACATAATTTTTCAATTTTCAATATTTTTTGTGATGGTTTTCGAATCTGAATTCGACAATCGACATACATGTCCAAGAAATATAACGACAATTTTAAATTTTCTGAACATTTTATTTGTTATAATCTGCGGTGGTAGGCGATTTTATCAATAAAATGAAGACAGCTTTCGATTTTAATTTTGTTTTATATAAAGCATTTAAACAGCATGGATACGAAAAAAATTTGTGAACTTCCAATTCGAAAAAAACTTGCAAACAATTAAAAAGAAAATAAAAAGTCGTCTTCATTATATTGCTATAATCGCCTACCACCGTATTATGCAAGCATGCGGCAATTCTAATACAGTTTATCAACTTAGAAGAGTGAGCCTCCGCTATGCAGACACTATCCTCCCAGAGTTGCTAGGCAGACCGAGCCTCCGCTTTGCAGAAATGAGCATGCGCAACACATCAAAATAGCTGTATGGTGGAGGCTCGCTTACTGCATAGCGGAGGCACGGTCTGCATAGCGTAGGCTTTGTCCGTATAGTGGAGGCTCGGTCTGCCTAGCGAATCTGGGAGGCTCGATGTCTGTATACCAGAGGCTCATGGCGTCCGGGGGATCCCTCCCTACTTAGAAGGCTACATTTTGACAAAAAGTCTTTTTCAATATGTTAACTATGATAGGAGGTTTGCTGATTAAAAAATCGTTAAAATGTACTAAAAACACGTTAAACACTGCTTACGAAAAATTCTTTATCCGCTGAATTATAAAAATTAATTAATGAAAAAGAAACTTCCTTTAGGATTAATCTATTGTATGAAAATATTTACTTTTGAAATTGTGAATTAATAAGATATTTTTAATGATACTGCAGCTTGTATATGTCTAGTTTTGAACCATGTATAATTTTCTTTAAATGCGCAATTTTGAAAAATCCACGGCAATGCTGCTCAAGAATGTCAAACAATAAAAATATGTCTTAAACTATAAAATAATGTTGAGCTTTTTCAGAAGTTATGAAAACAGAGTTACCCACAACTGACGAGGGTCAACCCAGACCGAAATATATTTTCAATAAATGTGGAACTAACATCTACTTTTTACTTTACAGAGGTTTGGTCCATCACCATCACCGAATTTTAAATCTATAAAATAATGTCGACTGTCGAGTTATAAATACAGACTTACCCACAAAGTATGAGACTGCAAAGACGACAGGAAACTCAAGATACAGAGCGTCCCATATCAAATAAGATTATCTCCAATCTTTAACGCCAAAATAAACCCTTAATGCTCGAAAAACTTATCATTTTTTGCAAGAAAATTCTTATATAAGCCTTATGTTATTTTTCAAAATCATTCATTCTTATCAAATTTTCTGATTAGTCTCAAAAATTGCAATTTAGACCCGTTGACGGTCTATTATGATGTGGGACACCCTGTATGTGACGATCCTAAGGTTAAATTCTGTATCCGGAGATGGAATTTAAAGAAGTTGAGACGCGGTTTAAATCTGCCAAAACCCGGTTTAAATTAAGCGCCGGCTTAAATCTTGAAACTTTTGATAAATTTTAAGTGGAACCAACCATATTTAAGCCGCGGCTTAAATTTAAACCGCCGCTCAAATTCTTTGCATTCAGCCACTGCTTTTTTTTCGTTTTCAATGATTTGGCAAATAATGAAACAAGTTTACANAACATAGTTTTTACATGTAAACATTGTGAAATACTTTCAATCAAGTACCTATGCGATTTTCATAATATAGTTTAATTTTGAAGATCAGTTCATCAAAAAATCAATGATTTAAAATTTTTATTTAATTTAAAGAATATGATAAAAACATCATTTTTGTCAAGCTAAATGTACAAAAAAATTAATTAGAAAATACAATGTGAATGAAAGAAGACAGTTGTTACCGATAATAGATGGCGAACATTTTAACTTTATATTTAATTGTCATTTTTAGATGTTAAGAGTTCACATGAACCTCCAGTTAAATCTTTGCATCACTAAATCCTCTAAACCCATTCCAAGCACAGCAGCTATGATGAGCAGTGTCCCACCCACATCAGACAGGTAGGTGGGCGTGTCAAAAACTGTCACCTGAACAGATTAATTTTGTATACTTTTATCATAAAATTTTCTAACTATGGACGTGATCAATTCTGTTTAACAGTGTTGAAAAATTGTAAAAAAATTGAGTTTCAAAAAATCTCAATTTGTCTAATGCAGCAGTAACAGCTAGTTAACAAACCATTTGCATAAAAATTTGACAATTTTAAAAAGATCCTTGCAACAAAAAACAGATTGAAATATGCAGGTATGTATTTTTTAATGCAAACTCTCTTTTTAAAATCTTTAAAATTAATTGTTGTAAATTTTACTTCATTTGAAATGGCAGATAATTATATTAACTAAATTTTACCTGAAGAATGTACGCGGCAACGACTTCAAAACTGCGCACAACCATCACCTTGGAGGGAGTTACCCAACAGATTGCCTGAAATGACGCTTTATTTACATTTTGAATAATTCTAAAGGGCGATTTTCTGCTAATATCGAAGTTTATCTTTTGATGACCATTTTGAACGACTTATTTTCCGATACAGTGGTCATCATATATCAATGCAGTGTCGGTTACTTATACGATGAAAAGATGGATATTCCAAAAAAATATTGTTGAGAAATACAATACAAAATTCAATGTGAAACTTTTCTATACTTTGCTAATGCTTGTTATAATCTAAAAAGATTAGGTCAGTTAAAATATTTCATTTTAAAAGACGACATTCATTCCACAAATTTCTAGATCTATCTGTTCTAATGTAGATCGATGTTAACGAGATATATTTATATCTATAGTAAAGTCATTCTTTAATTAACAAGTAACTTAAAAAGAGCGAAGGAAAATTATAACTAAATAATAAAAATAAATTACCACAAATAAAGGTCTTGCATTGGGATCAATAGCATACATTCCAACCAGAGATACAAATAAACCTAAAAAGAAAAAAAATCACTTTACTATTATTTCACTTTTTATTGTTCATTGTAGTTTTTTACTAATTATTTACTATACATCAATTATAATTCATCTTTTTTAATTAATTTAACATTTTTAATGTTAACAACTTCTAGCGATATATAAAAACTTGAAAAACTATCATTAGGCCGTCCTCAGAACTAAAATAAAATTATATTCAGAATTTAATTTGAACAAAATACATATATTCTATTAATTTATAAAAATAAAAAAGTTTACCTCCGACCCCGAACCAGAAAACAAAGACAGAATAATGAACATGTTTTGCTTGTCTGAAAATAAATTAATTGATTTCATTAAAATTTAAAAATAGTATCATCAATTTTCGGGATTTTCCCCTAAAAGAGTATTCAAAGTCAAACAGTTTAATTAAAAAACAAATATTCTGGAGAAAATTTCTGCCTTTTTAATGGTTTGACTGAAAAAAAAACCTTACCTAGTTATGATAACAATGATTGCAGAGAGAACAGGAACCATTAATGCAGAGGTTATTCCAATCCATTCGTATTCACCCTTAATATTCATTCATTCATATTAACCCTTAATATTCATTCATATTCACCCTTAATATTCATTCATTCATATTCACCCTTAATATTTATTCATTCATATTCACCCTTAATATTAATTCAGTCAAGTTCACCCTTAATATTCATTCATTCATATTCACCCTTAATATTTTTTTTTTCATATTAGCCCTTAATATTCAGTTATTCATTCTTATTCATCCATAATATTCATTCATTCATATTCACCCTTAAAATTCATTCATTTTCACCCTTAATATTTAGTTATTCAATCATTTTCACCCATAATAATCATTCATTCATATTCACCCATAATATTTATTCATTCATCCTCACCCTTAATATTTAGTTATTCATTTATTCTCACCCTTTATATTCATTCATTCAAATATACCCTTAAAATTTCATTTTTTCTTTCATATTAGCCCTAAATATTCTGTTATTTATTCATATTCACTCATAATAATCATAAATTCATATTCCCCTCAAATATTTATTCATATTCACCCTTAATATTCATTTAATCTTTCATGTTCACCCTTCATGATTTAGTTATTTATTCATATTCACCCATAATCTTCATTCATTCATATTCACCCATAATCTTCATTCATTAATATTCACCCTTACAATTAATTCATTCATATTCAACCTGAATCTTCGGTTATTAATATTCACCCTTAATTTTCATTTATTCATCCTTATGCACCGATCATTTTCATTCATTTATATTCACCCTTAATATTCATTCATTAAAGATCACCCATACAATTCATTCATTCATATTCAACCTTAATCTTCGGTCATTAATATTCACCCTTAATTCTCATTTATTCATTCATATACACCCATAATTTATTCATTCATATTCACCCTTTATATTCATTAATATTCACCATTATTATTCATTACTTCCTAATCAACCTTAATCTTTGTTCAATCATATTCACCCTTAATATTCATTTATATTCACCCATAATATTCATTCATTCATATTCATCCTTAACAATAATTTATTTATTCATATTCACCCTTAACATTTGGTCAATCATTTTTACCTTTAATATTCATTCGTTCTATCACCCCTAATATTAATTTACTTCTTCATATTCATAATTATTATTCATTCATATTCACCCTTAATATACATTCATTTATTTTTGACGCAAAGTTAGGCTAAGAAAATTAAGAATTTGTAAGGAGTAATAAATTACTTTATTAAAAATTAGCTTATTTTGTGTAAAAATAATAAATATCAACCTGATAAGGATCACGAGGCTCACTCTTATTCCCGTGATGATGATGGGAGGTATTGCTGGGATTGTCTGAGGGTGGGGGGAATAGGGAGGGATTCTTACCAATTAAGGTCCTGAAAATCCCGCAATGATCCTTGAGAATGACTGTTGAGAGGACCATAGTAGCGGCAGGCGAGGAAAAAAAGATGGCCGTCGCATCTCCTAGGGGTAGGGTACTCACAGCCTAGGAACAATGATTGTGTTATCAAGAATATACATTTTCTTTTGGAAGACAATGTGTTTAATTATATTTCCTTGTAGATGTTTGTGTCACCTGAAAAATTGCAAGGAGAAGAAATCCTCCAAGAAATCCCTGCGCCATTATCCGCCATCTTGAAAATTAAAAATTTCAAAAATGTTTAATAACATTATTTACAGAAAATTGTTTTTTAAAAAGATGATTAACCATTTATAAAAAATTGTGCAATCACAGAAAAGCTATCTGTAAAACTATTTTCATTATGTCTTTTAAGAAAGAGGAAAAAGTTTCATAAAATTAGAAAAAACTGACTGTTATAAAGAATAAAGATTTACAATGATATTCTAATAGTTTGTCCCTGACCTGGTGGCAAAGTCCGCTGTGCCAAGAGGATGAGCTTTATATATTATCATGGTGGGGCACATCCAGACCAACTGCAGCAAACATCTTAGACAAATTTAAGCTCATTTTTCATCAATTTTTCATCAGTAAAAATAAATTAGTATATTCAAACATCAATATAAAAAATATACCTTACAAAAAGTAGCTGCCAAGTACTCACATTAGGAACAAATTTCACCATAACATTACTAAGAAGTAAAAATTATTAAAAAATTATTACAAATCCAATAACTTTATTAATAATTTTATTTATTTTTCCTCCAAAAGTAGAAAAAAAACATTTTATTTCTCCCAATCTCAATCTGCATCGAGACATTTCGTTCGAAATAACGAAGAGTTTATGAATTTATTTGCCACCTCAATCCTGATACATTTTATATATTTGCAACCTCAATCCTGATACATTTTATATTTTTGCAACCTCAATCCTCATACATTTATATATTTGCAACCTCAATCCTCATACATTTTATATATTTGCAACCTCAATCCTCATACATTTTATATATTTGCAACTTCAATCCTGATACATTTTATATATTTGCAACCTCAATCCTGATACATTTATATATTTGCAACCTCAATCCTCATACATTTATATATTTGCAACCTCAGTCCTCATACATTTTATATATTTGCCACCTCAATCCTGATACATTTTATATCTTTGCAACCTCAATTCTGATACATTTTATATATTTGCAACCTCAATCCTGATACATTTTATATATTTGCAACCTCAATCCTGATACATTTTATATATTTGCAACCTCAATCCTGATACATTTTATATACTTGCAACCTCAATCCTGATACATTTTATATCTTTCTAACAGAATTCTTGGTATGAATATTCATCAGTTGTTTCCAACATCGGATTACAAGAAAATAAAAATGCAATTCTAATTTGCGACGAATATTTAGTTGCTTTTACATTCATGTTATTTAGAATTGGAAATAACATGAACATTAAAGTGTGTACCAGGTACATAGCTGTTACAGCTAAAATATTCTAAAAATACAAAAGTTCTTAATAAGAAAAGGTTAAAAAAACTTATTCTTCTTTATCTTAGTCTCACCTAGCTGTAAAGCAGAGTCCTGCCAGGACAGCAAAAGCATAACCTTAAAATAGATTTCATTTATTAAAGGGACTGTAAGCGTAATTTTAAGCAACCTTCCATGCAAAGATGGCTATGCCCGATTTACCTAGAAGAACAAGGGGTTTAGGAGATAATTTACCTAGAACAAGGGGTTTAGGAGATAATTTACCTAAAAGAATAAGGGGTTCAGGGGATAATTTACCTAGGATAATAAGGGGTTCAGGGGATAATTTACCTAGGATAATAAGGGGTTCAGGGGATAATTTACCTAGGATAATAAGGGGTTCAGGGGATAATTTACATAGAAAAACATGGGGTTTAGGAGATAATTTACCTAAAAGAACAAGGGGTTCCGGGGATCCATTGCAGATTATCTTTGGTGGATGCGAGATCTCTGAGGTATAATTTACCTCGGATAATAAGGGGTTCAGGGGATAATTTACCTAGGGAACAAGGGGTTCAGGGGATAATTTACCTAGGGAACAAGGGGTATAGGGATAATTTGCCTAAGAGAACAAGGGGTTCAGGGGACAATTTACCCAGGAGAACAAGGGGTTCAGAAGATAATTTACCTATTAGAACAGGGGGTTCAGGGGATAATTTATCTATGAGAACAAGGGGCTCAGAAGATTATTTACCTATTAGAACAAGGGGTTCAGAGTATAATTTACCTTCGGTAGTAGGCGATTATATCAATATAATAAAGACGACTTTTTTATTGAAGTTTAAATTGTTAACAAGCTTTTTTCTAATTTCAAGCTTACAAGTAATTATAGAGAATCTATTATAATTGACAGCTTCTCTTTGTTTTCATGTTTTCGTTTATTCATCCTGTTTAAAAGCGTGATATAAATCAAAATTGAATTCAAAAGTAGTCTTGATTATAGTCGCGTACTGCCGTAATAGGAACAGGGGTTCAGGAGATAATTTACCTAAAAGAACAAAGGGTTCAGGGGATCCATTGCAGATTATCTTTGGTGGATGAGAGATCTCTGATAGATCGGAGAATCCACCATCAGATCCAGCCTCAAGATCCTCTCCGACATGACCAGGCCGGGGCTCCTGGTTATGGTTATGATTAAACCGCCCCTTGATACCTGTATATCTGTTTGAGAGTATCCATCATGATGATCAGGATGATGATGATGATGATGGTGGTGTTCACTCTCACCATACACACGGTGAGGTTCATTATAGTCCAATAATCTGAACATAAAATAATAATCATACGACCATGGTAAAAGTTAGTGGCTGCTTAAAGGGGGGGGGGATAAGGACGTCTCCCCAGAAAAAAAAAATGTAAAGAGCAAAACCATCCAGCTCTTTAATTTTGATTTCCTAGATAAGATTTAAAAACAAAATTTACAGTGGCATCATTTATTTTCTCAAACTTAAGACTTTTTATAAAATTATATTTAAACCTCTTACTTTGGTCCACTTATTGCTCCTCCATGGTTTAATTATAAAATAAAAATTGCCTAACTTATTAATATTAATGGATTTATCAATTTTTTTTTGCTAGGACTTTGATTAAATTTGTATAGACGCATTATAATTCAAGAAAACAATGTTGATTTGATACCTATGATGTTCTTCTTCTTCGGGTTTTACTAGCAGTAAGGGCTGACGTTCATCATTGGACTAAAAAAATTGTCATTGCTAAAATTTGTCTTTTAAATTAGATTTAAATTAGAAAAATAATTTGCGATTTCTTTGAAGGTTAATCTCATTAGTTTGTAACAGAAAATAAATAAATTTTGTCAAGAAAAATAAGAATGCTCTTACCATGATAAATTAAAACACTAGCTGTACAATTGTACTTCCTTATTGTACAGTCCTGTAAGTTGAGTACAGGGTACAGTGTACAAATCCACAAGAATGAAAGGTTGAGTGTATGCACTGTTCACTACCAACAGGAACACTGAAAAGTTTAAATGGATTGTATTCTGAACCTTGAAAACTGACCCTGCCAGGGCTGGGGACCTGGTCGGTCAATCCAGGAAGGGAGGGGGGGAGGTAAGGGACGTGATCAGTTCATGTAAATATACTATTTCACGTTGGACAGGTAGGGGGTGGGGGAGGGAGGGAGCGAAAGAGGCCCTATAAGAATAATTGGGATATATTTATTTCATATGGTAAAGCTACAAATAGACGATGGGGGGGGGCAGGCCCGTAACCAGGATTTTCCCAAGGGGGGTGCAAAGATGGGTGTGTATTACAGTATCGGCCTATGATCACCGAGTGAAACGTAATGAATGAGGCGCGGGGGGTTGCAGGAGGTCACAGCCCCCCTGCATACATTTTTTTCATATTTCTGGTTTAAAAACGAGTAATTTTAGCTTGAATTTTATGTTATGTAGGTTATTTTCTAATTTGTCAACAACACAACATTAATAGTTATCGGAAAATTATATTTTCCCTGAATTTGGTGGTTTTTTATGGTACAAGGAAAATGTTCTTTATTTAGTTTTTAGCGCAAATTTTACAATATTGAAAGACAGAAAATGTTACTAATTTTGATATTACTATTCACGTTCACTGATTTTAAAGACAATATGTCACTGGACTTCCTGGGACTTTAGACTTTAGTCCTGGGACTGGACTTTAGATTCCTGGGACTTTTTTTCCTAAAATAATGAAGCCAAGAAAAAAAGTCCGTAGTCTTTAAAAAATGAGTCAAGTCTGAGATTTTTTAATAAAAAGGATTTTTCTTCTATGCACCTGCACATATTGATTACAGCTAATGGTGTTCTTAATATCAAGACCCGTTTTCCACAGTCGTAAACATCCTTTATTCCAATACATTAACTACTGTAAGAGGACTTTTTTGTATAAAATCATACTGGAACCAAAAAGAAAGTCCTAGAAAATAAAGTTGCAAAATGGTAGGATTTTTTTCCAGAGACTTTTTATTTCAAGAACTGATTTCCACGGGACTTTTTTAGTGACACAATTTAGGACTTTGTTTCTGAAAACTTATTTAAGAGAACTTTTTTGGCGATTACTAGCCTGTATAGGGAAATCGGATCTGTATTGGAAAAATCATACAGTAAAAAAATAAAAATATATATATCCATTCATGTGAAAACTAAACTACAAATACATACATTAGCGATTTTGACCGTTCCTTGTTACAAGGGCCATTAGCAAAAATAGTCCATTACTTGACCTACATATTTGAAAAACCCTTGAAAAATTGATTTGAAAAATTTGTTAAAAACCTCCCTTTATTCTCCCTTACTGCTTCAGTTCAGGGTCTATTTTTAATGAGCTAGCCTTGAATGTTTTATCACACTCATCTGTAAGGGGAAAATCTGTATTAGACCAAAACTTAGATTTAGAACGTGTTCCTGATAGAACGATTCCACTCCGCTCTTACCAATAAGTTAACACTTGATCGTTCCAATATTTCTAAGAACATGTTCAATGCGTTCATTCTTTTTTTCGGAACATTGAAATTAATCTTGATAGTTTCGTTTTTTCTCGTAAAGAACTATCGTCGCGTTGTTGTAAATACCCTATAGGTAAACTGCTCTCAGGCCCGAATATTATCCAGGTATACAAGTTCACTATACTATACAAATAAAAAACGTTGAATTTTTTTTTTTGCAAATACTTTAATGACCACAATAATTTTACAGTATTCATTGAACCGTGGAATAGGAAGACGACATTTAACAAAATTTAACTGTTATTGATGTTTTTATAATGCAAATAGTTCTACTATAGTAGCTTAAAGTCACTTAATACGTTTGTGAACACTGACCAATAGATGTGTCTTAAGATTATTGAACTTAGTTTTGTTAATCCTTTGGATCGTTTTTAAATAATTTAATAAAGCTTTCAAGATTTCAAAATTTTTCATATGCTAAAACAATTACTATTGTTAAATTTAAATTTGCAATATCATTAATATCTTTATTTTTGGTCTTCATTTACGATCATCACAACGTTTTTTGCATGTATCTTTTGTCAGGTGCAAAATTTGGCCTAGTGTAAGAAAATGCAATGGTTCAATTGCCAAATATTTGCCAAATTTTGACCCTGATCGAACAAACACAAACCAACTGAAGGCTATACTAAATGTACACTTAAACACATATCTTGAATCTGTTGTTCTTCTATATTTCATGATTCTTACCGTATAACACTATAGTTCCAGTAGAAGTAAATGTTTCCATTACCGTTAGCGCCGATATCGAAGGATATATATCTCTAATTGGATAATGAGATAGATAGAAAGATAGATGTTACCGCCATGCTATTTCTATTGGTTCAGAATAGACTACAAACACATGGCTGAACCATGATTGGATCAGGCGCTAATGGACTCGGTAGGAGTGATAAGACACAAACGATGCTATCTCATTTGGACTACTGCCGTTTGAACTATTGTTCATTTGAACTATTGTTCATTTCAACTACTGCACGTGGTACCACGTGAGTAGTTTAAATGAACAATAGTTCAAACGAGTAAATATATTGCTCATTTGAACTATTTTTTAGTTCATTTGAACTTTTTTCATTTGAACTATTAAAATATTATTAATGAAATAAACAAAAAATAGTTCAAATGAACATAAAAATAGTTCAAATGGACAAAAAAATAGTTCAAATGAACATAAAAATAGTTCAAATGAAAAAAAAAATAGTTCAAATGAATAAAAAAATAGTTCAAATGAATAAAAAAATAGTTCAAATGAATACATTTGAACTATTTTTTAGTCCATTTAAACTATTTTTTTTCATTTGAACTATTTTTTTTCATTTGAACTATTTCATTTGAACTATTCTCATGTTCATTTGAACTATTTTTATGTTCATTTGAACTATTTCATTTGAACTATTTTTATGTTCATTTGAACTATTTTTATGTTCATTCTGTGTAATGTTTATCTAATTAATTGTCATGAATATAACTTTATGAAGATTATAAAAAAATTTTAAAACTGAATTGGGGTAGAAAAATAGTTCAAATGAGCAAGAAATGCGTTGATTTAAACTACAGGATATGACGTCATGTCAGTAGTTCAAATGAACAATAGTTCAAACGAACAATAGTTCAAACGTACAATAGTTCAAACGGCAGTAGTTCAAATGAGAATCCACCGACACAAACTAGATAAAAGGAAATCATGCAAAACCAACAATAACGAATATGCAGATTAGGGTTTGGACTCGGTATACAGGAGTGATAAAACTAGATAAAAGGAAATCATGCAAAACCAACAATCACGAATATGCAGATTAGGGGTTGGACTCAACCGTAGAAAGGTCGATATTGAATATTTGCAATTATAAAGAATCGAGAAAATTGTGTATATTGCAATTAGTCAGGGGCGGCTTACAATATTTTCCAGGGGGGGGCATAACAGAGTTATAAAGTAGAAAGGTAGAAAGTACCTGCTCTCCCTAATTACCTCATTTTTCCTTAAGGATAAATTAGTATAGTCATTAAAGAAAGCTAATTTTGTATCTTTTAGTACTTGCCTGATTAACCTTTTATGGAATTATAAAATAGTCTGGTTCGAGGCACGGATAGAATATTACTATCAAACAAACATAAATTATTATTAATATAATATAGATTTTTAAATAAGTCAAATCAAATAATTCTCTAATTTCCCAAACATATATATGCTATTAAATAATAAAAATATTAATGCAGGAATATATTCAATGCAATTAAACATGTTGATTCAGCAGAATATCAAATTTTAAAAAGAATTAATTATTGTTTAAACATAGGCAATAATTTAACTGAACGTAGCCTTGTCTAGCCATTACTGTATTTTATTGATAAAGTGGTTTTAAGGATGATAACTTGATAAGTTACACGGATGGGAAAAGTTACTGAAAAACTGAGGTTTTTAAAAATATACGAGTCCCTTCATGAACATCAAATTTTTTCTGCTTAAAAATTGCATGAAACTTGCAGAAAAAAAATATTTTTTAAGAGTTGGAATGATTTTTAACGCAGTCTTCTGTTTTGCCCCCTGCTTGTTTGTTAACTTATACAATTTTATGCATTTTGATGTTTTTTACGTGCTTTGATGTTTTTACTCATTTAATTTTCAAATCCCTCAGAAATTATTTTAAAGTTTCAAAAAAATTAGTTCCTGTTGGATTTAAAAGATAAGAGCAAAACAAAATAATAGAAAGACTTTGATAACAAACTGGAAATAGATTAATTGATATTTCGTTTTATTTGTATGCGTGAGCTTGTGCCCACACCCCTTATCTAAAAGATAAATTATTAAAGTTAAAAAAAAGATAAGAATGGAGATATCCCTGATTACCCTTAACTGAGCTTTCGGTGCGTACTGTAGAAATCTGCAGTACTCTGACCGTAAGATAGTGGGGATTGTACAAGATTGTTATGTTCTGCAGAGCAATCTTCAACTTCTTGTTTCTTCTACATCTATGGGTCAAAGAAAGGTAATAACTACAAATGTAGGGTAAAATATGCCGGTTGATTTTTGTCATTAATTGCATTAGCCGTTCAGAAATTGCGAATTGCCAACGATTTATCAAATTTCAAAAAAAACCTTTAAAAGTTCCTTCAAATAAATTAGGGATGGGAACTGAAAACGACATTTAAAAACATCAAAATAAGAACGAAAGTTGTAGTTTATTTTAAAAAACCCCATTCGTTTCATTTTCGTTTAAACCGTAATGTTTTTTAAAAAACTGCGAATCTGTTTTGTTAACAATTTTAAAACTAACGTTTTTTGCCGTTTTATAACGGACAGTCTTCCCTTCTGCGAATCTGTTTTGTTAACAATTTTAAAATTAACGTTTTTTTGCCGTTTTATAACGGACAGTCTTCCCTTCTTAATTTTCGCAAACCTCCGTTTCGTTATCATAGAGGAAGGGACCGGAAGGGAAGACTGACTTTTTTTCGGGTCTTGGGTGTTGTGTTGGGTCTCTACACTATATAATTTGTGTAGATTTTGGAATTTTAATGATTTGAATCAAAAACTTTGAAACATTTTCAGCTAAACCATTGAAATCATCAATTAAATTTTTTTTCAAATTTCATATCACTTAACATTGTTTTAACGATATTTGACAGGATTTTTTAGAATTTTTGTTTTTTAATGGTAAAACATCCAAAAAAGATGAAAAAACGTATTTTTACACCATTTAGTTCGCTCCATCAAACCTTACCGAATATTCTTTAAAATTATGATATTTTCCTTTTTTCGAATCCCTTAAATCAAAATCTACACAAATGTTAAGACCCCAGAAAGGAAACTGAGGGAGTTTCGTTCAACAATACTCTTTTGAATTTCGGGCTCTGTTCTGTGATTAGCTCGCTGTAACAAAGACGACATCTAAACATATTGCGGGATTACAGGATACATCAGGGAAATTCAAGGATAAATATATGAACAGGAAAAGTAATTATAAATTGAAATCATTCTAAAGATTCTAAATCAATGCAAGAGCTACAATTGATACATTGTATGTAAATGAAAAGATTAACAGAATATATTCATTTTGTCCATTCTCACCATGAAACACAAGACAAATGCATTTTAGGAGGAGTATTGTGAATGGATAGTTCAAACCTTGGATAGTTCAAACCTTTGATAGTTCAAACCTTAGATAGTTCAAACTTTGGATAGTTCAAACCTTGGATAGTTCAAACCTTGGATAGTTCAAACCTTGAATAGTTCAAACCTTGGATAGTTCAAACCTTAGATAGTTCAAACCTTGGATAGTTCAAACCTTGGATAGTTCAAACCTTGGATAGTTCAAACTTTGGATAGTTCAAACCTTGGATAGATCAAACATTGACTAAGTGATACAGAGCTGGGAACTTTAGAATTAAATACTCTTAATACCGATCGCTTAATCTGAATATCCAATGTGGACAGTTTTATTTTCCTGCTTAATCCAAGTGTTGGGCACGTTCCAACTTTTTCAAGCCGTTTCGTTAACGGTTAGTTCCAACAGTTTTTACAATAAATTCTCAGGAAGGTGTTGGTTTTATAGGGTACCAACGAGACTTCATTTCGTTAACGGTTTTTTCAGTTTTTAAGTTCCTGTTAGTTAACCATCTCAATTTTATTAACGGCGTTAACGGAAAATTTACAACAACAGTAAACAGCTCCTGCCGTTAATAGTACCGTTATTATAGAATTAATAGCATTAACGGCGCAAAGCGCCGTGAAAATTCGATAACAATTAATGAAATTGTTAACGCCACAGCCGTTAATGGTTTATTACAGTATTATCGGCATTAATTTGCGAAACTTCCGTTTTGTTAATGGAGTTAATGGAACTTTGCTCATAGCCCTGATTAATCCACTTGTCTTTCCATCTTTTTATCCCTACCAGATTCCAACCAATGAGAGGTTTTTCATTAAGTGGCGCGTGAAAAATTATATTTTCCCGGGTTCTCATTGGCTGTTTCGCATTTTTCATTTGTGGTTGAATTTTACACATTTTCAGGAAACAAACTAAAGATTAAATTAATCTTGAAATTCTAAAGTTTTCAGCTCTGCAAAATTAATAATTTAGAATAATGAATATAAAAGATTAGAGGTTGAGACAAGTTATCAGTATCTTTTTTTTCAAATTAATTAATTTACGAGTTTTATAAAATTTTCAAGATGTTTTGTCAATTATTAATGTAAATTTTATCAAAAAATGTCAAAAATAAATTCCAGCAAAAATTAAACAATGCCAAACTTTGTAGCGGCGTTTATATAGATTGTTTTATTTCAGAAATCTATACTCCCTGTTAGTTGTTAGTTCTTTGTTCATGCTAATTCACTTATTTAAAGGTACGTTTTCTATAAACCATAAATATAAAAATAAAAAATAAAATTTTAATTATTACAATTAGCACTTTTGTTCAGAAAACTACGTAATTACCAATGATAAACCCCAGTTTGGAAATTTGGTCGATAACATCTCGAAACCCTATAATGACGAAGTTGATAATGTGACTGAGGAAAATATTCCTGAAAACATTATGATCACTCCTCCAGATTTGAAGGACATTTTTTTAAAACAATTTGGAAACACAAGTTCTCAAAATTTCTCCAGTCTTCCAGAAACCTTGGGGACGAAGAAACATATACTTTTATTAGCTTATGCAAGGTAAACCCAACACTTGACATCATACGCTGAGAACCAGAAAACTCTGCTAAAAGAAGGCTTAAAGCAAGTGTTTGTATTGTAGTTAAACAGAGCTGAAAACTTCAGAATCTTGGATATTGAGATTGATGCTTGATTTCCTCTTTTTGTTAATCCTAAGATTATTAAAATCTTTATCCACAGAGGGGAGGAAGGCCAACCACAACAATTTCTCGTCCGAGCCACATTCTCCTCATTTTCTCGTCCGAGCCACCTCTAAATCCTCGTCCTTTCAACATAATTTTTTTAAAGTGTCTAATCCTTCCATATAAAACTATTTTTTAAGAATCAAGCCACGTTAGAGCATAAATGAAATATAAAATTTTTGTAAATCAAAGTAAAAATTTTCAATTGTATTAAAGATTTCAAGTTTAATGTCCTTAAAAATGTACACCTTTTTTACGCGCATTTTCAGATATTCCTGGTGTAGAATGCCACAAATAATTCCAAGTTTATAGAACTTTAATCTTTTTTGTTAACTATAGTGAAAACCATAGAGTTTTTCCTGGTGGTTCCATGGGAAAAATTATAGGCAGAGGTATGCCGAATATTTTTCTATTTATTTTATATCACGAAGGTTAGCCATTACGGAGGCAGAAGAGATTTAGGTTTTACCTAAATAAAAGTTTGACATCATTCTCATGGGTTTGAAGTTCCAACATGATATGATCATTGCAATACTTTAATCCATCCATATGTTCTGCCCTAACGTGGCCAGATTAAAAAAAAAATAGTTTTATCTTCAAGAATTGGAAACTTTTCAACACAAAATAATCGAAGGACGAGGATTCCGAGGTGGCTCGGACGAGAAAATGAGGAGAAAGTGGCTCGAACGAGAAATTGATGTGGCTGGCATTCCTCCCCTCTTAATTATTAATGTCGTCTTCCTATGTCATTGCTCTACAAATATAAAAATGTAAATATTAAAATCAGATCTGGGTCTTCGTTCACCGGCGACCTACTGAGTGCACATCCAAATGCTGCGTATTATTTTGAACCGTTCTATTTACTCAGACCAGGTGGACATAGTATAGAGCGCGCATTACAGGAGGTACATTTTTCTTATCTTATTTTTTATTATTGCTATGCTTTTTTTTTGCTGTTGTTGTTGTCATTGTTGCTACACTTTTTCTTATTGCAGTTACATATTTAGCTTTAGAAATAAAACATTTTTTATTATCTAAGTCACAGATATGGTTTCCATCGAAATTTTCTTTGAACGAAATTCGCGAAAATGACCTAACGAAATTTATTTTGGGTGAAATTTTCGACCTCATTTTCAAAAAAAATTTCATTTTCGCGAAATTTTCGTTCAATTTTCGTTCGATAAAAATAAAATTTTTCCATTTCCAATCAATAAGATTGTAATTGTATTTTTGCGAAGAAAAAATATTTTTAAACGAAAGGTTGAAAATCTTAACGAATTTCGCGAAAAAAATTTAACAAAAAGTGTTGCTCTTGTTCAAATTTTCGTTGGCTGTTTTCGCGAAAGAGATTGAACGAAAATTTAGAATCCCTAGTCACAGAGTCACCACTTTAACATCTGAATACTTTATTAAAGATATCTAAGGAGTAATAGATATAATTAAAGAGGAGGAGTGGCTTGGTTAAGTATTTCTAAGACGTAAATGATCTTCTTTGAGACTAGTTTTGTATTCAAAGAAAAAAAACAGTCTTAAAACAGTAAAGCCCTCGTGTCCATTCCAGGAATTATAAACCTTGTATATTTACTTTGTGATTGTTTATAATAAAACGGATATCCTAGCTGTCCAAAACTGGTATCCTAGCTGTTCAAAACTGGTAGCCTAGCTGTCCAAAACTGGTAGCCTAGCTGTTCAAAACTGGTTGCCTAGCTGTCCAAAACTGGTATTCTAGCTGTCCAAAATTGGTATACTAGCTGTTCAAAACTGGAATCCTAGCTGTCCAATAACATCACAATAAAAACAAATCTTATCTCTTTCTCCTTAATCTATTACTCATACTAGAAATAGATTTTTATTTTATTTTAACAAATCGAAGTGAATAATATTTTTGATACATGGTTTTGGTTTCTTTTTAAATTTGTCTAATATTAATGTAACTGCAGAATCCTTCCACAGTTTGGCAGGTTCGAGACTATATTTACGGAATCTTCTATTGCAATCCTTCTCTGCTGAAAAAACTTAGTAGGTTTCAAGTTGAATTTAGAATAACAATTGTCTTAAGCATCACATTCTGAAGCAGTTTATTAGTACAGGGTGTCCCAATAAACATGGGAATTCAGTGACGAATTCGATATCGTCTTTGTTATGAATTATCACTATGCAAAATCAAAGAATTATTTGAATAGACGATATCGAATTCGTCACTGAATTCCCATGTTTATTGGGACACCCTGTATCATCGAAAAACTAACATATGCACATCACATCTCTTAAGTAGAGATAAGCACGTTTTTCATTCATATCGTTCGTTTTTTCTTTCAATTAGTGAAAAAAATTATTTGTTTGTTCTTAAATATATTGTTTATTTTTCATCAATTTTGTTCGTTTTCTGCTCATTGCAACAATCGTTTGCGTGTTCAATATAATCGTGCATTTGGTAAAAAAAAAGCTTTTTTCAAAAGTTTGTTCGAAAAAATCGTTCGTTCACAGTAAAAAAATATCGCTTTTTAAAAAGTTTGTTCCAGAAATTCTTTGTTCGGTAAAAACAACAATCGTGTTTTCAAGTTTTTTAAACGATTTAAAAAAAAATTTTCATTTGTTTTAGAAAAAATCGATAATTTGGTTACATTTTTCTGAATATATCGTCCGTTTTCTTCTCAACAACACAACACCATCCTTCACAAAATATGTTGTTCGTCAGCAGAGGATAAAAATAATAATTATAATTGAGTTAGAACTTTTAGCAATTGAGAGTAAGAAAACTGAAAAAACAACATAATTACAGTTTTCATGAAATTTATTCAACAAAGTAACGGTTTTTATCTGATTTAAGTAACAGTTTTAACGTGATTTATTCAACTAAATAACGGTTTCCATGTGTTTACCAAACTAAGCAATGGTTTTCATGTGATTTATTCAACTAAGTAACGATTTTCCTGTGATTTATACAACTTGTAGCGGGTTTCCTGTGATTTATTCAACTTAGTAATGGTTTTCATGTGATTTATTTAACTTAGTAACGCTGTTCATGTATTTATTCAACTTAGTAACGGTTTTCTTGTGATTTATACAACTTGTAGCGGGTTTCCTGTGATTTATTCAACTTAGTAACGGTTTTCATGTGATTTATTAAAGTTATTAACGGTTTTCCTGTGATTTATAAAACTTAGTACCGGGTTTCCTGTGATTTATTCAACTTAGTAATGGTTTTCATGTGATTTATTAAAGTTATTAACGGTTTTCCTGTGATTTATAAAACTTAGTACCGGGTTTCCTGTGATTTATTCAACTTAGTAACGGTTTTCTTGTGATTTAAACAACTTGTAGCGGGTTTCCTGTGATTTATTTAACTTACTAACGGTTTTCATGTGATTTATTAAACCTAGTAACGCTGTTCATGTGATTTATTCAACTTAGTAACGGGTTTCATGTGATTTATTAAACTTATTAACGGTTTTCCTGTGATTTATAAAACTTAGTACCGGGTTTCCCGTGATTTATTCGACTTAGTAACGGTTTTCATGTGATTTATCAAACCTAGTAACGCTGTTCATGTGATTTATTTAACTTAGTAACGGTTTTCCTGTGATTTATAAAACTTAGTACCGGGTTTCCTGTGATTTATTCAACTTAGTAATGGTTTTCATGTGATTTATTCAACTTAGTAACGGTTTTCATGTGATTCGAACTCATGGACATGATACCGACTGCATCAACGCAAATCCAAAGGTCGGAAATTATTCAAATCAAACTTAAAATTGGAAATAATTTCAGAATTGTAGGAGCACTTACAAAACGTATCATCACTAAACATATCTCGACAAAACATATGTAATCAAAATACATCAAAACAGAATATATCCAACTACTGTACACATAAAAAATAACATATCAAACTACAAAACTTATAAAAACAGCATATATCAAACTACAAAACATATCAGCAACGAAACACATCAACAACAAAACATATCAAACTACAAAACATATCAGACTACAAAACATATCAGACTACAAAACATATCAACAAAACATATGAAACTACAAAACATATCAGAATACAAAACATATCAACAACAAACATTTCAAACTACAAAACATATCAAACTACAAAACATATCAGACTACAGAACCAATCAACAACAAACATTTCAAACTACAAAACGTATAAACAACCAAACATATCAATTCAAATTTTGCCTTGGAAATGCTTTGTTTTTGATATTTTTTTGTATCATGATATGTTTTGTAGTTTGATAGTTTTTGTTCTGATATGTTTTGATTTTATATGTTTCGTTGAGATATATTTAGTGACGATATGTTTAGTATGTGCTCCAAAATGTATGATTGGAATTGGTAAAGGAGTTCATTTCTTTTTTTTTTCTCCAAAAACGAATAATTTCCTGGTGATGAAAACAATCCGAATTCACAAGATAGGACTTGAACCCTGGATATACTCTACAAATATCCAGGTATACTTGAACCCTGGATATACTCTACAAATATCCAGGTATACACTTGAACCCTGGATAAACTCTACAAATATCCAGGTATACTTGAACCCTGAATATACTCTGGAAATATCCAGGTATACTTGAACCCTGGATATACGCTACAAATATCCAGGTATACTTGAACCCTGGATATACTCTACAAATATCCAGGTATAGGAGTTTAACCGTGGATATACTCTCCAAAATATGCAGGTAAAGGATTGGAACCATGGATATACTCTACAAAAATCAAAGTATAAGATCGGAGCAGGATATACTCTACAAATATCCAGGGATAGAACTTGAATCCTGGATATACTCTTTAAATATACAGGAATAGATATACTCTACGAATATTCAGGTATTTGACTTTAACACTATAAACTTATTTCCTGCTGGTGTTTGTCAATACAATTTCCCCAGCGAGTACTGTACAGCGTACGTCCCTATATCACTAGAATTTCTTTAGAAATGGCTGGTTCATTTGGAAAACCGTCCCGTTTCGTCTGATATGATCTGTTTGTGTACTGTACAGCTCAATCTTGCTGGTTAGATGTCGGCCGGGCTCTTGAAATGAACCGGACATGAACCGTCAGTGATAGACATGTTTGTTTAGGTGGTTCATCTAGTACGAGACCCTCGTGGTATGATTACATCAATGGCGTCTCATCAGAATACTTGGGGGGAGGCTGCAAAGAATTATTCACAGTTGTGTAACAAAATTCAGGTTCTTTTTATCCTTATCATTTTTAACGTTTATTTGCAAGCATAATCTAAGTGACCTTTCCTTTCATGGAAGGAGCATGTTCAAGTCACAAGCATACCCTTTATCAGAACAAGACTGAATAAGCATCCATGTTTATAAATTGGGATTTCTTTGCAATAGTGATTTACACATTTCTACTGCAGGAAAACCTATAGGTTTAATAAATAGTAAACCTTTGTACACCTAGAAAATGGCGATACTTCTACATTTTTGATTAGATAAAAGTTTAAGGGTACAGGGGTGGATACAGGGGGGGCGGCAGGACCTTCGCACCCCCCCTGAGATTTTCAGAATAGCTTCTCAATTTCACTTAAGGGAAAGAAAACTTAGAGCGAAACTGAAAAAATATCTATCTTAATAAACTATAATGTGACGTGTCATAAGTTATAAATCTAGTTTTTAGTCTTTAGTAATTACTTTTGACTCTTTTTAAGACTTTTAAGTAAAAAAAATTTTGACTGTGACAAAAATTTTGTTCCTTAATCTGGATTTTTTTGTTGCGAATAAATCTAGCACCCCCCTCACTTAAATAATGTATACGCCCCTGCAAGGGTACCATTGTGAATTAGACATTGTCATCTTGCAACGGGGGGGGGGGGGTCACTAGAAATTAAATTTTCAGTTAATTTATTAACATGTCAGTTTATCTATTTCTTATTCAGGACGACCTTAGTCTTGAGGAGGGGTTAGGACCTAACAGATATATGAGACTTAGGTAAACTTTTACTTTTGGGTTTTTGCTATCAAAAAGTAAATATTAGTTGTACAGAGTTAGCTAAATAAAAACATTCCTATAGCTGGATCTACAATCCCGATTGCTTTATCTCGATATCCACAGTGCGCACTTATGAACATTGAAGCTATTGGCCAATAGCTAGATTCGTTTTACAGGCATTTTTGATATTTTTAGACTTTTAGGAGATTCTACGACAATCTGAGAACAAGAAGGGTCCAGTGATTTAAAATTGTATATTGAAGTTGACTTTTTTCAAACATGCAAATTTGTCCTATGTACAAATATAAGGCAAAAACAATCGTTTTTGCCTTATATTTTCTTCTAGGGTAGGAAATGTACATGTTTGAGAAAAGCAAACTTCTACAGAATAAAGTTTTAAAGTATTGGAATCTTCTCATCTTTCGTAAAACCTTTCAAATGTCTAAAACGTTAGAAGTTTCCATAAAATAAATCTGGCTATATTGCCCATCCCGAAATATATACAAGGTGTCTCAATAAGCATTGAAATTTAGAGTTAACAATAGCATTAACATTGTTTTTAAACTTAAACTCAATGTCAAAAACTGCCTAAAATATGATAAAAATATGATATTCAGACATATTTATCATAGATAAAAGACCATTTACAAGTCGCCCCTAAATTCCCAAGCTTTGTGAAAGAAACTAAGTTAAAAAAACATATTTTCCAGATATGAAGATCTAGTTGAAGATACAGAGAATGAACTGAAACGTATTTATAAACTCCTTGATATACCTTTCACAGAACAGGTAGTACTTTTAGACAGATCAGGTAGTCCTTTTACAGAATAGGTAGTCCTTTTACAGACTAGGTAGTACTTTTACAGACCAAGGGGTCCTTTTACAGACCAGATAATTCTTTTTCAGACCAGGTAGTATTTTTACAGACTATGTAGTCCTTTTACAGAACATTCAGTCCTTTTGCAGAACAGATAGTCCTTTTCATAACATGTAGTCCTTTTACAGAACATTCAGTTCTTTTGCAGAACCGATAGTCCTTTTTACAGAACATGTAGTCCTTTTACAGAACATTTAGTTCTTTTGCAGAACCGATAGTCCTTTTTACAGATCATGTAGTCCTTTTACAGAACATTCAGTTCTTTTGCAGAACCGATAGTCCTTTTTACAGAACATGTAGTCCTTTTACAGAACATTTAGTTCTTTTGCAGAACCGATAGTCCTTTTTACAGAACATGTAGTCCTTTTACAGAACATTCAGTTCTTTTGCAGAACCGATAGTCCTTTTACAGAACATGTAGTCCTTTTACAGAACATTTAGTCCTTTTGGCAGAACCGATAGTCCTTTTAAGGAACATATAGTCCTTTTACTTAACAGACAGTCCTTTTACAGACCAGGTAGCCATTTCACAAACTAGAATTCCTTTCACCAACCAAGTAGTCCTTTCACAGACTAGGTAGTCCTTTCACAGACCAGGTAGTTATTTCACAGACCAGGTTGTGTTTTTTCAGAACAGGAAGTCCTTTTACAGATTCAGTAGTCCTTTCATGCAGACCTGGTAGTCCTTTCATAGACCAGATAGTCCTTTTTAAATCAGGTAGTCCTTTTACGGACCAGGTAGTCCTTTTAAGACTAGATAGTCCTTTTTCAGACCAGGTAGTCCTTTCACAGACCAGGTAGTGCTTTAATAGGACAGGTAGTCCTTAAATATATACCAGAAAGTAAAAATAGTTACACGAATGCTGCATTACAACTCAAGAAATAATCTTGTTCACTTGAACAGTATACAAATTGTCTCTTTTTCTTCTGTAGGTGAGAGATGCTGTTTTTAGACACACAAATCCAAGCAACAAAACAAGGTTATAAAACCCAATAATCTTGATACTGTCCTGTTTAAAGGGATTGTAAACATAATTTTATCTGACCCTCTGTCGGGGGCATGTCGGATTCACAGCGATAACTTTGAAAGCGTTGTCTGAATAAGAACGACACTAAGATATTTTTGTTGTTCTCTTTGAAAATTGATTATTCTTAATTAATGCGTTTTTACAAACATGACTTGCGGATTAATGTTGCGGAAACATTGGGGAAAATTAACAGAATTATACCACTTTACAAACAGAAAAAACTTTCTTCCACATTCAATGGGTACCAATGTGAATCGGACTTTCCCAATTCTTTGGTTAGAGGGTCTACTAGGGGGGGGATACTACAGTACAATTCGTGAAACCTTCTTGGTGAAACCGGTTTTAGAACATATTCTGGGAAGAGAAAGCTACGGCTAGGGCAGATCAGGAAATAAAACTATCTATTATTTACTAGGGGGGGATACTACAGTACGTTTCGTGGAACCGGTTTTAGAACAGATTCTTGGAAGAGAAAGCTGCGGATAGAACAAATCAGGAAACAAAACTATTTTTTTTAACATATTTTTACAGATTCAACCTTACAGTTCTTTTTATTACCGATTTAAGTTTTTAATGGAGTCATTTCAAATGAATTAACCATTATCTCTTCTTTTGATTTGACAGAGTGAAAGGTTAAGAATAAGTTTCCCGTACTGTAAACTGCTTTAAATTTTGTTTTTGATTTAAAAATTGACGACTTCATTTATATGGGGATGTTAACGGAATTCTTATTGAGAAAGAATATGGGTTAAAATTCCATTAAACAAATTTAAACACAGGGTTACACACAAAAGTTGACCTTTTAATGATGACCTTAAACTTTTCTAATATGAATGTTTGAACATTAAAACCCACATATTTGAAATATTTTATTAGATAAATCTGAAAACAAATCTGAGAAAAGATCATGTAAATAGTTATGTGAAATGTAGGATGATTGAGGAAGAATGTAGTTCAGTTCTGGAAAAACTTAATTATAATATATTCGATCCAGAGTCAGAAATAAATATTTAAACAAAATCAATATTTTTGCATGTCTATTTACTTTATTTAAATACTTGTAGTTGATATTGTTGAATACTGTACTCTGAACTGGGTGGTATAGGGTATATCATTGTAGTTGATATTGTTGAATACTGTACTCTGAACTGGGTGGTCTAGGATATATCAGTGTAGTTGATATTGTTGAATACTGTACTCTGAACTGGGTGGTATAGGTTTCCATTCTAATCCAAGGCTTTTTACATTTCCATACATACTTCCTTCCGTTCCAGGGAATACAGCATAGTTCTAAAAGGAACTGTGTAGTCGTATTTTCGATTGACTCTGCATTTAAGGATTGGTATGTCTGGTTCACAATGCTACCTTTACAAGCTTTGTCAAATCAAGAATGAATGAGCTATTCACGTCTCTTTGAAAATTGATTTTTAAATGTGGTTTCTTAATGTGAGCGAATTCAGGATTTTTCGAGCAATACGTCAGATTTAAATTTCAACCTAGAAAAATATTCATTCATTCTTGATAAATTAAAACTATTAAGGGTACTATCGTGAAAATAAAACGCCTCTCTAAGAATGGATAGTCCCTTGAGGACTACACCCCACAGATAGTCCAGTTAAGATCTTCTCAATATTTGTTTCGCTAGTTTGTAATGGTTAAAAAGAAAACAACAAATTTTAATGTTTTATTTATTTATTTATTTATTTACCTTATTTTGGTTTAAGTACCCAATCCACCAAGAAAAGTGTGTTCTTGCAAATAAAACAAAAATGATTTATATTTAGCCTATCATTCTTATATTTCTTATACTACAATTAATCATTATATCGCCTGACAACGTATAATTCATAATGTTTCGAGTTTTGACTTGAAATTAGAAATATTAGTTTACGATTTTTTAAATTATTTAATTTTAAAAGATTGTTACAAGTATCAAAGGAACCATGTTGATGAGTTGATTATAGAAAATTTTCAACCAAATATATTTTGAATTTCTGTCGCAAAGATTTTTTCTTGGGGGGGGGGAGGAGGTAAATATTTATTATTCAGATATGTATCTGAAATTTCAAGACGTTTATTTTCATAAAGAAAAATCATTAAAAAATAAAATCACTTTTCAATTTAAACTTTAAATAAAATGGAAACGGAAAATGCGACAAAAACTTCTTTCTTCAAAACTAAATATGCATAAAATATGCACAGTATTTTAGATTTATACTTTCTTTAATAGATTTTTGATAACTTCTAGTTTCGTTGTTCAGAATAATAATATAATAATAATATACATGTCCAACCTCATCAAGATATTATGATCACAAAGGACCATCAAGGCAAAATCATCCAGAAAATTCCAAAGATTTCCTCTTCCAACAAATTGAATGTTTGCTCCATTGAGAGTCTGAGTTAACTCTTTTTTTAGAGTTGTTTGGCACCAAACCGCATTCGAGCACCTAGAGATATCAAACTGCATTCGAACACCTAGAGATATCAAACCGCATTCGAGCACCTAGAGATATCANGTACTGTTGTAATTCTGAATCGAAAATGCTTTTTAAATGGAGGGTTTATTCAGTCCCTTTAAGAATATTTTTTATTTTATTAGAGAGCCAGCAGCACGGAAATTTTAATCTTTACATTTTTCTTGCATATTAGAAAAGTAAAATGTTTTTGTATGTCTCCTATGTTTGTGTAGATTTGAGAATTCTAATGGTTTTAATCAAATTCAAAAATTTATCTATTGCAATAAAAAATGTATTTCTAAAATTTTTACTTTGTCAAGTCAAAAAGAAAGTGTTTTATGTATTATTGAAAACAATGAATATGCAATTGTAAATTAAATGTAAAATTTTTTTCCCAAAATATAAAAATTCAAAGAACTTGAAAAAAATAATCTTGTTTGCAGTTAAAAAAGACTATTGTTCTTTAAAAATAAAAAAAAAATAAAATTCATATCTTTCTCGGTTTAATAATTATTTGATTATTAATATTTCACCTAATGAGAAAAAGAGGATCAGAAAACACAGATTGGAAGTGGGAGAAACAATTACTCAGATATTTCAAGTTTAAAGTTTTCTGTTGTTTCTTCAAAAGTTCATAGTCTTCCATATCAATATAAACACCAATAACCTATATAAACAGTATTAAAGGGACAGTTAACGGTATTCTATATGACCCGCCGATTAATAAGGTCAAACTATAAGGTAAATTCACGCAAGATTGAAATCTCATATGATTTCAATCTCCTATTCCCATTATCGAAAAGATGGAAAAGTTATTTTGGAAATAAATGTTTTGAACTTCAAGTACAGTGATAACCAGAAAACTCTGAAATAGGTAGACGACTTTTAAACTCATGTTAGGACTTAAACTGGTTTAATCAACATTATTGACATTGCAATTGTACAGTGTAAATAGATCATTTTCACTTAAATTGTACTTTGCTAATTACTAGTAAAAAAAAGTATTGCTATAATGTCGTCTTTCTATTCCATTGTTTTCTGCTTATCACTGTATAAAACCAGACAAATTTGCTTTTCCCTACTTGTGCATGAAATCTACCCTAGAGGAGTTAAGAGCCAATAATGTTTAGTTGGCAGCGATTCATAAAGAGTCTCTTTTTGTAAAGGAACTGACCGAACAGGAGGGGTTTATTCAAGTTATCAAATAATATGTGTCTCTATAGGATGTATAATTGCTGAGCAAAAGTAAAATTTTGAAAATTTCGCGGCAATGCACAATTCGTGACATTTCTCAAGAAACAAACGTTTTGATTATTCAGTAATAATAAACAAAAACAATAAATCAGAAACTTCTTGATTTTACTTTTATCTCTTTCCTGGTTTTGATTATTCAGTAATAATAAACAATAACAATAAATCAGAAACTTCTTGATTTTACCTTTAATCTCCTTCCTGGTTTTGATTATTCAGTAATAATAAACAAAAACAATAAATCAGAAACTTCTTGATTTTACCTTTATCTCCTTCCTGGTTTTGATTATTCAGTAATAATAAACAAAACAAATAAATCAGAAACTTCTTAATTTTACCTTTATCTCTTTCCTGGTTTTGATTTCGTCAAGAAGTTGTCTCTTGTTTTCAAGAACTCCAGTTTGAGGAGAAAATTGCCTAAACAGTTATTTGCTGCCATAGGAATCAGAAAACAGTGGTTTTTTTGTCGTCTTCCTTTTCATCGTTATACAATTTGTAATTTACAATTACACTATTTCTAAAGAAATATTAGTTGTATCAATTTTAAATTAAAAATTTGAACTAGCGACATTTTGGAGGCAATATTGAAATCTTCAATGTTTTATTTAGAAGCTACAAATTGAGAAGAATTTTTTTGTATTACTAATAGATAACCAATTATCTTATATTTGAGTGTAAAATCAAAGCTGGTGGAGGTGCGAGGTCTATTTCTTTCTAGTTCACAGAGATTAACAGAGACGACAAGCATTCATTGGACAGGTTATTTTAAACCATAATTTGCAATTTTTTATTTGCTTAAAAACTTGCATAAATAATCACAATCAAAGAATCATTTCATAAATAACCACATGTCCACAATACAGAAATAAATATTCCAAAATTGTTGATTAATGGTTATCCTAAAGACCAGAATTTATGAATAGCTCGGAGTAGTTGAACCACGTAAACGTAGTTCAACCACTTCCCACCTTTTAAAAGTTGGAATAAAAGTTATAATTTTGAAATATAGAATTTTAGAAATGTTATTAATATTTGTTTGAATCACCTCTGTAGATCTGTTCTATACGCATGATAAAGTTTAGCTCTGTTTGGACCATTTTTTATACAAAAGTTGAGAGAACGGAAGCTTGGATCATTCTTCTCCTTCATTTTCTCATACGCATCCAGACCTTTATAAATACATGTGTAGTTTGTGACTGTAAAATCCGGTTTATTTAAAGAACTGGGCCGACTTTAAGCTTCCAGGGCAAGCAGTACAGTACACATACATACAGACTATATAAGGCAAACAAGGACGGTACACCAAATGAATCAGAGCTTGTTTTAGGGAGATTAAATATTTATTTCATTTTTACAAATAATAACAAGGATTTTAAGAATGTGAAGAAAAAAATAAGCAGCAAATAATTTAATCAATTGCGTTAAAAATTTAGATTTCTTGAAAATTCAATGAAAAAATCGAAAATTTCATAATTAAAGAAAAGAAGATACAGCAAATTAAAATTGACAATGACGCAAAACTCTCATTAAGTCTAATTTGTAATATTTGGACGATCTTTTATTACCTATGGAGAGGAATGTGGTATTACAAGGTTCTATGTCAAATATAGAAGGTGTCGATATATTAGGAAATAAGGATCTAAAAATAAAATAATTTAAGGTCATAATAAAAAACTAAAAAATATTATTTTAAATTGCTTTGTTGAACAAACGAATTTATCGACAGTTCGGTTTGTGAAACAGTAACAAGATTGGGCGAATATATAGGGTCAAAAATCGAATATAGCCTTTAAAACCTTTCAATTAGTACTTAGAATTTATTCAATTTTTTAAAAATATACGTTTTATTCAATTTTGATGGAATTTATCACACCTAATATTTCCCGTTGTAGAGTGATTAAGTGACTTTATCGCCCTACATCAGGGCGAAAAAGTAACTTTTTTCACTCTGCTATTAAACTTTCAAATGTCATACATAATTTGTCTCATTGTAGGGCGATGAAGTTACTTAATCACCCTACAACAGGGTGATAAAGTAACTTTATCGATCTGCATTTAAATAATTTGAGTAAAACTGAATAAAACTTTATGTTATTTGCTGTGATTTTTAATTTTTCTAGTTTGTTTTATCAAAATAAAAGTATTTTCACATTCTTTCATTTTGATCTTAAACTGCAAACTAGAAAAAATACAAATCCCGGGAAAAACTTTTTCGCACTTATTAATACCCATCACAATAACATAAATAGATATAAACAGTTTTTTACCTGAAAACTTGATGTAAAGTTTGAGGTATAAAAGCATATTTCTGATCTCGCCTAAAGATCGAGTAAATAAGATTATTATCTATCATAATTAATAAAAAAGTAATAACTAATAATCTGCAGAAATTATTTACTCTTTTGTATGTTAAGAAATATGATTTGAAATTGTCACTCTGTAGCCAGGTATTATTACGATTTATTAAAAACCGAATTTTAGTAAATAATATTTGCTTTTCTAAAATTCCTTTTTATAACCTCATATAACAAAACTAAAACCATTTTGATATACATAAGACAGTGTACATTGTGCTTTATACATCACATGTTACAAACATTTTTCAATACGAATCGTTTAAGCTACAAGTTCTAACCCGTCTTGGAATAAATCTACAATGTAGCAACGATTTTTTCTACAGTTATACCCTAAATGAGCCATACATCGAAAGAAATTATCAAATGTCGTCTTGACAATTTTTCAATGGGTTTTATACTATTTTACGTAAATCTCAGTATTTGCAAAAAAATACCCTTGAATATGTGGGAACAGTTGTAAAGAGCTTCATTTGATCATTTAATTAAAAAAATAAATATCTGCAACATTCCGTTATCAGAAAGTGAAGAATACGACATGGCTTATTGAGGTTTAACTGTATCAAAACTCAAAAGAAGGAACAAAGCATCAATTTTCACTGTCAAAAATAGCAAACAAATAGAATATATTTCCTTGCTATATAATACATAATATAAATTAGCTCTAAGGAGAATAAATTACCTTGCTATAGAATACATAACATAAATTAGCTCTAATGAGAATTAATTTCCTTGCTATATAATACATAACATAAATTAGCTCTAAAGAGAATAAATTACCTTGCTATAGAATACATAAAATAAATTAGTTCTGAAGAGAATAAATTCCCTTGCTATAGAATACACAACATAAATTAGTTCTAGGGAGAATAAATTTCCTTGTTATAGAATACATAACATAAATTAGTTCTAGGGAGAATAAATTTCCTTGCTATAGAATACATAACATAAATTAGCTCTAGGGAGAATAAATTCCCTTGCTATAGAATACATAACATAAATTAGCTCTAAAGAGAATAAATAAGCTTGCTATAGAATACATAACAAAATTAGCTCAAGGGAGAATAAATTACCTTGCTATAGAATACATAACATAAATTAGATCTAGAGCCTTGCTATAGAATACATAACATAAATTAGTTCTAGGGAGAAGAAATTACCTTGCTATAGAATACATAACATAAATTAGTTCTAGGGAGAATAAATTACCTTGCTATAGAATACATAACATAAATTAGTTCTAAAGAGAATAAATTTCTTTGCTATAGAATACATAACATAAATTAGCTCTAAAAATTACCTTGCTATAGAATACATAACATAAATTAGTTCTAGGGAGAATAAATTACCTTGCTATAGAATACATAACATAAATTAGTTCTAAAGAGAATAAGTTACATTGCTATAGAATACATAACATAAATTAGATCTAAAGAGAATAAATTTCCTTGCTATAGAATACATAACGTAAATTAGCTCTAGGGAGAATAAATTACCTTGCTTTAGAATACATAACATAAATTAGTTCTGGGGAGAATAAATTACCTTGCTATAGAATACATAACATGAATTAGTTCTAGAGAGAATAAATAACCTTGCTATATAATACATAACATAAATTAGCTCTAAAGAGAATAAATAACCTTGCTATAGCATACATAACATAAATTAGTTCTAGAGAGAATAAATAACCTTGCTATAGAATACATAACATAAATTAGCTCTAGGGAGAATAAATTACCTTGCTATAGAATACATAACATAAATTAGTTCTAGGGAGAATAAATTACCTTGCTATAGAATACATAACATAAATTAGTTCTAGGGAGAATAAATTTCCTTGCTATAGAATACATAACATAAATTAGCTCTAGGGAGAATAAATTTCCTTGCTATAGAATACATAACTTAAATTAGCTCTAAAGAGAATAAATTACCTTGCTATATAATACATAACATAAATTAGTTCTAGGGAAAATAAATTACCTTGCTATAGAATACATAACATAAATTAGCTCTAAAGAGAATAAATTTCATTGCTATAGAATACATAACATAAATTAGCTCTAAAGAGAATAAATTACCTTGCTATATAATACATAACATAAATTAGCTCTAAAGAGAATAAATTACATTGCTATAGAATACATAACATAAATTAGCTCTAAAGAGAATAAATTTCATTGCTATAGAATACATAACATAAATAAGCTCTAAAGAGAATAAATTACCTTGCTATAGAATACATAACATAAATTAGTTCTGGGGAGAATAAATTACCTTGCTATAGAATACATAACATAAATTAGTTCTAGGGAGAATAAATTACCTTGCTATAGAATACATGACATAAATTAGATATAAGGAGAAGAAATTCCCTTGCTATAGAATACATAACATAAATTAGATCTAAAGAGAATAAATTTCATTGCTATAGAATACATAACATAAATTAGATATAAGGAGAAGAAATTTCCTTGCTATAGAATACATAACGTAAATTAGCTACAGGGTTACCCACAAAAGATCAGACTGTAAAGACGACCTGAAAGTCAAAAAAGTCAAAAATATGACAATTTGCAAGTTATTTTTTGGGTTTTTGAGTATTTTTGATGGTTTATATATATGATTCAATATAGAAATAAGCCAGTTTTGGCCTACAAGGGATCCTGAATGCATGAAACCAGACTAAACAAATTCCAAACAATCGTTTCATCCTTTTGGGTAATCGTGTAGATTGGGAGAATAAATTACCTTGCAATAGAATACATAACTGCATATTGTGACATTAAAGAACCAATATGTCCACTGCTTTCCATTGTTAGAACACTTTCGCTGAATTAGATGCAGAATAAAAATCTAGAGGTTCCCTAGCTTGAAATCGCATATAAAGTTTCATCATTTCCACCAACCAACATGTTTTGACTGCTTTCTAACGTCCATTTGTTGCATATAATACCCATTCAGGGTTTAATTTTTAACATAAAACATAATATTTATGAATACAGACGTTTGCTTATTGGTCGTGTACTCCAGATGTACACAATGTACCCTGCTGTGGGAGATAAAGCATATTCTAGATCTCTGTACTCTCTTATCTCTGGGACAACCTATTTTACTCTCCCTATATTATTTCTAAAAGAAATATCACCTCGGACACCCTTGAAGAGGGCCTAGGGGGGCGGGTGTGCTCTCAGCTTCTTCTTCTTTTCTAAACATTAACTTTAAAGGGACTGTTCAAAAATTTGAAGATGTACTCTATTAGAATTTAAAAATATTTACAAATTAGTGAAACACGCTGATTGGTGCTAAATAAACAAATAAACCCTTTTTTGCCCTTACCTTTCTCGCAGTGATCTCATTTTCTAAAAAAAAAGGTTGTTTGGTTTTTTATTTTGAAGAATTTAATCTTATTATATTTGTATTTCTCGGGTACAGTCATGGTGGCCCAATAAACAGGGATTAACATTTTTAAGTCCTAAATATCTTTTAAGTCTTTTTATAAGATATATAAAACTTTAAAAACGCTAATCCCTTTTTTGGGGGGCCACCCTGTAGTTACAAAAAAAGAGTTCATAAATATTTTTCAAAAGATACCTTAAATTTGACTTGAATTGTACTACTGGTAGGTTGGTCCTCAACATTTAATGCATTTACAATATACCTGAACCCCTGGGTAGAAAATTAAAAAAATAATAATTAGACATGCTGAAGAACTATTATACTCTATTATGGTTTTAGGTATGGTTTAAAGAACGTTCTTGCGACAAGCAAAAATGTTTTAATCCCTATATCTCTGGATTCTGATGGTGTAAAATTCAAACTTAGAGTATTTTACATAACTAAATTTATAGTTTGAAATATCTGACACTGGGCTGCAAAAATATACAAATTAGAAAATCAGAGCTTTTTGCAAAGACTCAATTCCTTATTTTAATTCATACAGGTCCTTGAAAGTACGCTTTTAAATCAACAATTCAGGTAGTTATATTTACCTTGTTTTCCAGTGCATTGTAAGGGAATAATTCTTCTACTGATTTATTCCAAACCATGATATTTTTATTCTCTGATAAACTTCTTTTCTGCTTGATTTTTAACCTTAATATTTCAATGTACAGTAATTTACATAAATTTAGATTACTGTACAGTACAGTACTGTACAGAAATCTAAATAGTAATTTACAGTTCAGTAATGTACAGTACAGTAATGTACAGTACAGTATTGTACAGTAATGTACAGTAATGTACAGTACAGTAATGTACAGTACAGTAATGTACAGTACAGTAATGTACAGTACAGTAATGTACAGTACAGTAATGTACAGTACAGTATTGTACAGTACAGTAATGTACAGTACAGTAATGTACAATACTGTAATGTACAGTACTGTAATGTACAGTGCAGTATTGTACAGTACAGTAATTTACAGTAAAGTAATGCACAGTAAAGTTGTGTACAGTACAGTAGTGTGAAATACAGTACACTGTACAGTCCACAAAATAATTAGGAGAAAAATGGTTCGTAGATAAGAAAACTCAATTTTAAATCAATATTTCAGATTTTTCAGATTTAAAAAAAGTAAATTTAGATGCATATTTAACGTCCTACTCCTAACTTCTAAAAGCCGGGATTATTAGAGCATATTAAATGTTAAATATATGTTAAAACTAAATATAGTATAAGCACAATAATAAATAAATGTTTTTAAGAAAATTAAAAAATACCTGAGATTGTTAATTGCATAAAGTACAAGGAGAATCCAAATAACATTTTTCAAAAATCTTACATTTCGCCTGCTTTAAAATTTTTATAGTTTAGTGAAAAAAAGAAAAGAGGTCTCAACAATTTTTTTCAAATGTGTAAATTGATTCTAAGTACTCAATTCCATCCATTTACCTAAGTAATACTTTTTTAAGTACCTCATTTTATAATTTAGTTTATTTCTGTTAAATATTTTCTTGAATTTCATTGTAATACTGAACAATTAAACATGGTCTATGTACCTTTGAAAAAGATTGAATGCGTAACAGGTGTATGTATTAACTTAAACACTATTTCTTTAAAAAAACTATTTTAAAAAAATTATTTAAAATAGGAGTAAAAGTAAGTATATGTGCAATACTGAATTTTCACGCAAATATTTTGTTGTAAACTTTTGAGGATATTGCTGGTAGTTTAGCGCAATTTATTTTGGTGTAATTTGCGCAAAACTATAAATATTGATTTAAACGTATATTTCTTTCTTTAAATCACACAATAAGTAAAATAAAAACTACCAAAAATCCAAACACCCATTTAGATATTTTAAATTAAGTTTCGCAAATAGATATTAAAAAGTTTTTCATATGTTTATAAATAGTGTGGGATAAAAGTAGTGGTTGTACCAAACATTTAATTTCTGAGACATTTTTTATCTCTCTTGCCGCCAGCTGACGTGTTTAATCGTAACGCCTCTTATTAAAGACATTTTAAAGGGAGTGTTCGCGAAAAATGAAAGGGGGTATAGGTTTACGGCGAAAAGTATTTACATTTTCTCCTCATAGACGCAACAGATAGAAGTAAGATTATTAGCGATCAAAAGCGAGTATTTTTCGCCGTAAGCCTATACCCCCTTTCATTTTTCGCGAACACTCCCTTTAAGTGAGAAGAACAAGAATGTTTTTAGTTTCTGATTAGCAACCAAATAAATCAGCTTTAGTTGTGCGTTAAATCAAAATTAAAGGACCCACGAGGTCACAAGGTCAGATAAATTTGATTTTCCTCCTCTCTCTAGTTAAGTGTGAAATTCGATGAAATTTTTGGTGCAGTAATAATCAGCTGGCAATCTCTTTTAAAACCACAAATATTGTAAGTATGCAAACAAACAATTTTAATTAGTTACTGATTTACCAGGGACATAAAGTAAACAGGCTGAGAATTAAGTTACTGATTTACCAGGGGTATAAAGTAAACAGGCTGAGAATTAAGTTACTGATTTAACAGGGATATAAAGTAAACAGGCTGAGAATAAAATTATTGATTTACCATGGGGACTTAAAGTAAACAAACTAATAAAATAGTTGCTGAGAATTAAGTTGTTAATTTACCAGGGATATAAAGTAAACAGACTATTAAGTATTAAGTTACTGATTTACCAGGGGTATAAAGTAAACAGGCTGAGAATCAAGTTACCTATATATATTTACTTATATACATACTATAAATTATGTGGTTTACAAATTCTGTTGTCTAAAAATTATGTGGTCTATAAATTAAGTTGTCTAGAAATTATGTTACCTAAGAATTCTGTTGTCTAGAAATTCTGTTACCTTAGAATTCTGTTGTCTAGAAATTATTTTAGCTAAGAATTCAGTTGTCTAGCAATTATGTTAGCTAAGAATTCTGTTGTCTAGAAATTATATTGGCTAAGAATTCTGTTGTTTTTAAACTATGTTGACTAAGAATTCTGTTGTCTAGAAATTATGTTGGCTAAGAATTATGTTGTCTTTAAACTGTGTTGTCTGCAAATTCTGTTACATTCCAACTTTGTTGTTTTTAAATTATGTTTAAATATTATAATTTGTCATATACAATGTACTTGGGAGGACGCTCGGTGTCTCTCCCAAGTGAAATCCTTCAAATTTTGAGAGCTAGAGACAAAGTACGTTGTATATAAAAAATTATAATATTTAAACATAATTTAAAAACAAAAAACTTGGAATGTAACAGATTTCTTAGCTAACATAATTTCTAGACAACATAATTTGTAGAGAAGGAGCAATTGAAAAAATGGTCAAAATAGTAAATTTCCCAAATGCCTGGGAATTTTGATAATTCTTAAAATGCCTAGAAATCTGGGAAATTTCCCAAATTCCCAGTGGTTTTGGGAAGTCTCCAAATAACAAGTCATTTGAGATATTTCCGAATTCTTAAAAATATACCACCCTCAAATCGTCATCCAAAGTACATTCCGTATAAAAGACGGGATTATGATATGTAAACCTTATACGAATACCCCGAATTAATTCGACATTTGTAATTTATAAGTTCTGAATGATTTTAAATTTAATTGAGTTCTAATCCCTTGGGTATAAGGCTTTTTTAACCATTTTCTATATATGCAGCAGATAGAAGTAAAAATAGTAGCGATCAAAACCGAATACTTTTTTTAAGATCAGCCTATACTCCTTTTCATTTTTCGCAAACACTCCTTTCAATATGTTGGATTGGCAAATCCCGCCATTAGGCATGATTTTAAATTTTAAGAGTTTTAAAATGTTCTTTTGTTATAAATATACAAATATACATCTATATTAAAGAAATAATGGGGACAAAATAATAAACAGCTGTGATGCGATGAACAGATCGAGGATGTCAAAAAAAACTTTAAAAAGGCAAAGTTTGGAGAATAAAAAAAAAATATATTTGCATGTAGAGTGAACTAAGCAACCTCCCCCCCCCCCTCCTTCGAACCCAGCTGTCATAGCTTTCTCATAACATATAAACATAGATGCAGTCAGAACTATTTTAGTCTGCATATACACATACCTTGAAATAGTTAGCACCATAACAGACAAAACAGACATGTACTAATAAAACAGATATGTTTAAACAAAAAAGACATCTGTATAAAAAAACAGACATGTACAAATAAAACAGGCATGTACGGACAAAGACAGGCACATATGGACAAAAACAGACAAGTTCACTGTACAATGTACATACAAGACAAATATGAGCTGATGAAAACAAACATGTAAAGAAAAAATTAACATGATGAGACAAAAACAGAAATGTTTTTTTTTAAAGTAGAAACAAAGACATCTGAAGAAAAAGAAAAAAGTGGCACAACAAAAAAATATACAAATCAAACAAACATGTACAACCAAATACAGAAACAGATATGTCATGCACAAACAAAACAAACATATAAAAACGAAACAGACATGTGCAAACAAAACAGACATATACAAACAAAACAGACACGTACAAACAAAACAGACATATACAAACAAAACAGACACGTACAAACAAAACAGACGTGTACGGACATAAACAGGAATTACAGACATTTACTGACAAAATAGCAAACATAGACAAGGCAAACATGACCTCCTCATAAAACAAAAATAAAAAAAACCGCGGAAAGACGAAAACAGAAATGTTTTTAAAAGTGAAATGTACAGACAAGCAAAGACATCTGCAGAAAGAAAAACGTGTTACCTAACAACAGAAATGTACAAATAAAAAAATATATGTACAACCTAAAACGGACATCTCCAGACTAAAACTGAAATGTACATAAATAAAACAGATATCCACTGGCAAAAACAAATAAATACAAACGAAGACAGACATGTACAGCAAAAACAGACATGTACAGTAAAAACAGACATGTACAGAAAAAACAGAAATGTGCAGAGACAAACAAACATGTACATTGTGCATTCATACACACCTAGACAGAGAAAAACAAACATCTACAAAGCAAAACAAACTTTTATGGACAAAAAAAACATCTACAGAAAAAACAGACATGCACACTGCACAGTGTACACACAAGAACAGACAGGACTACAGACAAAAAACATAAAAACAGACATCTACGGATAAAACAGATGTGTACATAAGCAAAACAGGCTTTTACTGGCAAAAACAAATAAGTATAGCCAAAACTGTAGTAGGCCCTTATGGTTCAAACGTTTCAACCGAATCATATTGAAATTTGATTGGGGAACTCGGTAGTACCACAGAAATGTTCTTAGCTCGGTTTTTCAAAGCTGGGTTCCCGAACTAGTTTGTAAATATATTTCCAGATTCCAGTATGCCTAGAATAGAAAGCGTGAACCTTGTACGAGAAAGGCCTGGGCCTTGGGGATTCCGTCTTCAGGTATTCCTCTACTGTAGCCTATGTTAATTCTGCAATTACACTAGGAATTCCTGGTCTGCTGTATTTTGTTTTCCACGTAGATTTCAGGGTATTTCGTTATCTGTATTCCAGTTTAAGGTATTCTGTGTTCTGTATTCCACTTGGAGTTCATGGTATTCTGTGTTCGGTATTCCACTCGGAGTGTGCACGGTATTCCACACGCTGCATTCCACTTGGAGTTCAAGGTATTTTGTATTCTGTATTCCACTTGGAGTTTAGTGTATTCTGTGTTCTGTATTCCACTTGGAGTTCAATAAATTCCACGTTCTGATTCCACTTGGTGTTCAAGGTATTCTGTATTCTGTATTCCGCTTCGAGTTTAATGTATTCTGTGTTCTGTATTCCACTTGGAGTTCAATGAAATCCACGTTCTGTATTTCACTTGGAGTTCAGGGTATTCCGTGTTCTGTATTCCACTTGGAGTTTAATGTATTCTGTGTTCTGCATTCAACTTGGAGTTCAATATATTCCACGTTCTGTATTCCACTTGGAGTTCAAGATATGCCGTGTTCTGTATTCCAATTGGAGTTCAGGGTATTCGATGTGAAAAAACGATTTTCAACCCGGTACATTTTTTTTGAGATATTGTTTTGCAGAGAATATTTTAAAAAATAGTTGGAACTTTTCAAATTTTTTACTAAAAAGACATTAAATCTATCAAAACTGTTTAGGGTGGACTGGATAAAAACTGAAAATTTTGAGAAAGCTCTGTCTGTTGTGTTTGTAACTGAAGGATCATTCAGTCATTCATCTGGACTAAAGGTATTTGATTCATCTTTTCATATTTTAATTCATCCTGACTGAAGGTATTTGATTCATCCATTCATCTTTTCAGCCTTTCTTCATATTCATTGATTCATCCAATGGTATTCATTGATTCATCCTTCATATGCATTAATGCATCCAATGGTAGTCATTTATTCATCCTGTAGCTTATTGATTTATTTTTCCTGTGTTTATTTATATCGCCATTTATTGTTTAGTTTGTTTAAATTTTATTCATCATTATTAACAAATATTTTAGTTACATCAATCAAAGGTAAAATCTATTGTTTACATTTATTGTTTAGACTG